AGTAGTAGTAGGAGTAGGAGTAGGAGTAGCAGTAGCTGTAGCAGTAGCAGTAGCAGTAGCAGTAGCAGTAGCAGTAGCAGTAGCAGTAGCAGTAGTGGTGGGCTTACAGGCTTGGAGGCTATTATCTCTCCCTCCGTTTGTGCTCGAGGTGACACAGTTGCCACGCTTTTGACGGCGCAGGCAATTCAAGGTATGCTTGCAGCCGCATGGCTGCATTTCCCCTACGAGAGGCTCGGAGCGATAGCTCAGCAAAGCGGGCATGCGATCGCAGGTCAAGCACTAGAAGCAAGGACCCCAATGATTGGAAGTTGGTCGTGTTCACTTCTTTTCCAGCTTTTCAAGCTTTCAGCTTACCTGCTCCCGACTAATTCAATGGATTGCAGCCCCTGGAACTACAAAATCCTGTGAGAACCTGCGCATCCTGCGCTTGCTGAGGACCTGAAGAGCGAGCAAGCACGGTTCAGGGAGGTCGTGCTGCAGTCCATGGCCACTTTACGATTTGTAACCTTGTCGAATGCTTGAGCAATGCTTTTACTTGGACTCCGAAGTCGTAGTTTAGATTTAGAAAAAGTAGGAGGGAACTCGTTGCCGAAGCCCACAAAGAAACTAATTGCTAAAGCATCCCATGTGTGGGTGTCGACAGGCATCCGTCCAGCGGGGAGTCCACCAAGCATACCCGCACGACGATCCAAAGGCTCGCCTCGCACAGGGCTGCACGACATTCTCAGGGAATTTCAGATGATCGAAGTAGATGACAGGTATCATGTTCATGTGCATCCACGCACGTGTGCATAAAGGTGGATAGATGGATGCATGGGTGGATGGGTGAATGCATGGGTGGATTGAAGGGATGGATGCATGGAGAGACGGAAAGATACAGAGATAGAGACAGGAGAACAGAGGGAGGAGGAAACGCGCTCTGACCTCCACGCGCCAAGCCCGTACCAATTTGCTTCCCTTCCCTTGGAAGTCAGCCGTATGGTTCATCGTCGCCGTTTCCCACCTTGCAAATCTAAACTGCCAGGACGCTTGCTGTGTGCTGAACAGGGTTTCCGTGGGGGTGTTCCCAAAGTGCCCAAGGATGCAAGTCGGCGGGTTGCTTGCATTGTTTTGCCGACTTGGCTATGGTTCCCTGAAACACTGATGCATTGCTTACATCATTGCCCTATGATTGCGCCACACCGTCATGCTTACGTTATTCATTTGCACAGAGATGATTGGACTTTCCGAGAGATCAGAGTTATTTCGCATCGAATCTGGGCTATGTGGAACAGACGTAAGTGTTTTCGGGAACGCGGGTGAGCCTCCTTCGAGGGGAAGATGCTGAGAGATATATCAAGGCCAAGTGTGGGCTGGATCAGCCATGGCATGCCTTGGGCCGCACAAACGAGGGTGGTAGATAGACAGTTGGACAGACAGATACATAGATAGATAGATACATACATANNTACATACATACATACATAGATACCTAGGACCTAGAAATGATAGGTCGAGAGAGCGACAGAGAGATAGATAGACAGGAGAGAGCAAAAGAGAGTATATAAATATAGACAGATGGATAAAAGAAAGAAAGACGCGCGCGCACACACACAC